TCCCCAGCCCCTTGTGGCACTGTTTTAAGACATGGTCTTGCTGTATAGTTCAGGTTCACCTTGAACTTGCAGTGATCTTCCTTCCTCAGTGTCCTTAGGGCTGGGATTATGGGCACGCACTGCCACACCTGGACCAGCTATCGTCACAAATCTGTCGTAAACAGACCATTCATCCACAGAGCAGTGACTCCTGCGGTCCCAGAGCCCCATTACACGTCGGTCAGTCTTGTGTGTGCTGTTGGCCCCAGCGCAGGCACCAAATTGGGTATCATGAGCCTGTCTTTTGTGGTGTGTGAGGGGCATTTGGGAGACCAAAAGGAACAGGAGCCGGGGGCTTTTCCCTTTGACTCCTTTCTTTTCTCCCTTGAATGTGAGCTCAAGGAGGCCAGAAGGTCTTAGCCTGTTTTGATTGGTTCTGTGTCCCTGATGCCCAGCACATGGCTGGTCCACAGTGGTCACTCCATAAACATTTGCTGAGTGAATGAAGGAATGAATGAACTTCCTCCTCTTGATCATTCATTCATCCAGTTGTCCATCCTGCAGCTCCTGATGGCACCTAGGACCTCACTGCCTGGGAGCAGGAGCTTCCCACTTGATAGACACCAGCCAAGACAAGGCCCGAGGAGGGACCCAGTGCAGAGATGGAAAGGAGCATTCTGAGGGCCAACTCCAAGTGGCAGGCTCCCATGGGCACACAGCATGAAGCTGGGAGGTCCCAGTCCAAAACAGATGCGTTTGTAATCATTCCCCTCTGGCCTCGCTGCCTGACCCCCAGGCACGGATGTCGGAATGGGCCTGGAGTGGAATGATGTAGGGGCACATGGTGGGCCCTGGGTGCAGAGCCCGGGGAGTCAGCAGGACTTGAGTTCTGACCCTGTTCAACTGGCCTGGCTGTGCTGGGGACAAATCTGTCGGATGCCATCATCTGTACAGTGCAGGGACAATGGCGCCCTCTCCCTGGCATGGCAAAAAGACCGCACCAGGTAGGGGCCACTGCCTGGAAGTGTGAGACCAGAATAGCTAAGCGCTATTGTTTATTTTAATGCGATACAAGTGGATTGTAATAAAGAAAATATTAAAAATACTCTCCATGAAAAATTTAAATTTCATAACAAAATTATTAGAGGATAGCCATAGTTCATATACTATGAATCGTGACCTTAAAAGACTGGACAAAATGTTACTCAGAGTACAAGTCTAAAAAAAAAGACTCTCCTTTACAAAAAAGAAACAAAGAACAAAATTTTCTTCTCACTGAATGAAAAGAAACTAGCAGTATAAATGAAACAAGTTAGCATATATCTTAAAATACATTTCAAACAATGGAATAGATAATTTGGGGATTATTTGAATTTTTCTCTATTTCCTATTTACCTATCCATATATATGTAGTATTTATATATAGTTTAGTATGTTTTGTTTTGTTTTTTGTCTTTTTCCTTTTTATTGGTACCGGGGATCAAACTCATGACTGCCTGCTTGCAAGGCAGGCGCTTATGCCACTGAGCTAAATCCCCAGCACCAGTTTAGTATGTTTTAAACTACATATAATATGTAGCTTTTTGAGGAATCTCTATGCTGATTTCCATAGTGATTGGTACCAGGCATGCATATATATATATTGGGGACCACAAATTACCAATGACTGGTTTTACATACTTCCCTAAGGAATGAACAGAGGCTTGGGATTATTGGTATCACCCTTTTGAGATTTCACATTATCTTGTTAGAGGTGGGTCATCCTCTCCCACCTATTAAAGACTAAAACTAAGCCTAAGACCAAGCCCAAGCCCAAGCCCACTAAGACTGCTAAAACTAAAGATGTGCCAGGGCAAGCTCTTCATTATTTTAAGATCACGATGGCCCTCAGAGTCATCTGATAATCCTCTCCTCAGTCAGTAAATGCTGAGGTTCTGGCTGCCTCTGCCTCGTGGCCTTTTGTTCCTCATGAACAACTGTTCCTCTCGGACCCCTGCTGTACTGCCCCTTTGTGTGTTGTTCTTCCTTTTTTATTTTTCTTTTCTTTCTTCTTTTTTTTCAATAGAACTCTGGGACACTCCACTGCTAAGCTACTTTCCCCCTACACCCCTTTTTTTTCAAATTCATTTTATCGCAAAGAGAAAAAAAATAATAAAAGAAGAAAGAAAACAAACACTCTTTCTACCTTTCTTTCTTTTTTTTCTTTTTTTCCCCCTGTGGCCATAACACCTCGCAGGAGATTGCAGCTCACTGCAGGAGTCCCTGATATATACAGAGAGACAGAGAATACGTATATTTAGGATTGTGATTGTAGTCACCTAGCATATACACACAGGCAGACGCCCCCATACATATGGCGAGAGATTCTCATATAAAAGCAACCATGTGACATTTAAGCTTGTAGGTCTGATTTAATGATTTATCTCACTTAACATGTTCTCTTAGCAAGTTGCATCCATTTGCCTATGAATACCTCAGTTTATCCTTTTTTCTTTATGGCACAGTAGCACTGCACTGTGAGTAAATACATCTTCCTTATCCATTCATCTGTTGGTGGATGTGGACTAGCTAGCATACACTGTGCTGCTATAAACATGAGTATGCATGAATCACTGTAATATGAAGATTTTAACTCTTTTGGGACGATGTCTAGAAGGGAAATAGCTGGATCAAATGGAATCTCTAGTTTTAGTTTTTGAGAAATCTCCAACTGATTTCCATAATGGTTGTACTAGTTTACATTCCCACCAGCAATGTAGAAGAGTTACTCTTTTTGTCTTTTGGAGACAGGGTTTCACTATGCAGTTCAGGCTGACCTTGAATTCACTATGTAGACAAGGCTGGCCTTGAACTCATGGCAATCTTCCTATCTCAGCCTCCTTAGTTCTCGGATTACAAGCCTGTGCCACCATGCCTGGTTACTTGATATTTTTTATGACAGCCAAGGAAATACTGTTTAAATAACAACTTCATTATTGAAAAGGGCCCCCACATACTATAAAATGTAGCTCTCTAAAGTGTGGAATTTAGGGTTGGCATTGCTCAGGGTTAGAGCACTTGCTTAACATGTACAAGACACTGGATTCAAATCCCTTCCAGAATAAAAGTGTGCAATTGAGGGTTTATTTACATAATTGTGCAACCACCACTATTACTTTAGGCATTTTTGTAGTTCAAAAGAAATGGCATACCCATTAGCAGTCACCCTGTTGCCCCCTTCCCCTGGTAACAATTGATGTAGTTTCTGTTTGTGTAGTTTGCCTGTTCTGAATATTGCATATAAGTGAAATTTGTGGACCTTTGTGTCTGGCTTGTGGGGACATTATTTTCAAGATTCAGCCATGCTGTAGCATGTATCAGTATTGCATTCCTTTTCATGACTGAATGATATTCCACTATACGGATATACCCTGTTTGGCAATTTATCAGTTGATGGGTGTTAGGATGTTTCTATTTTGGCTCCTATATAGTTCTACTATGAACTCTTCCTACAGCTCTGTGTGTGTGTGTGTGTGTGTGTGTGTGTGTGTGTGTGTGTGTGTTTGTGTTTTCAATTCTATTGGATATCCACCTCAGAGTGAACTTACCAGTCATGTAACACTTTTTATCACTTGTTGAATTACAGTGTATGCTTGGTAGTTGCCTGTCTTGATTAAATAGATAAAATATAAAACATACCTATTTACCCAGAGAAGTAGCACAAGTTGAAAAATTGAAACATGTTCAAGAAAAATACAGAAATGAAAGATACATAATGGCTGATGAGGGGTGGGCACTTAGAAATGCTGAGGGTACACTCCATGTTGGAGGTTTAAGACTGGTCCCCAAACATAGGGGACCAAACCAGTCACATCCGAATCCCCTAAGTTTTCAAACTTCGATGGGAAGTTTCTGAAGATGTGACTATTGATGGGGAGATCATCCTGAATTATCTGGTGGGTCCTAAATGTAATCATATACATTCTTCTAAGAGATGGCAGAAGGAAATTTGACTCACACAGAGTAGGTGGTGGAACACACAGAGCTGAAGATGCCCTCCTTTGAAGAGTGGAGTGATGTGGCCACAAGCTAAAGCATGTGACAGCCACTAAAGGCAGGAAGAGAGAGGAATAGTTCCCCCCTAGAGCCTCCAGAGGGAGCATGGTTCTGTTGACACCTTGGCTTTAGTCCAATGATACTGATTTGGGACTTCCGGCTTCCAGGATTGTAAGCGATTAAATTTCTGTTGTTTTAAAACATGAAATTTGTAATGGCAAGAGACTAACAAATCCAAATCATTTGAGATCAATGCCGAGAAGCACAACCACTGACTGTTAATCTATTCTTGCATGAGGCTATCTAGCATATATTTAGCAGGGTTTGTTTATTTTGTTTGCTTTTTTCTTTTTCTTTTTTATCGGTACCGGGGATCGAACTCACAACTGCCGGCTTGCAAGGCAGGCACTTATGCCGCTGAGCTAAATCCCCAGCCCCCTTGTTTTGCATTTTAAACAGCGTGTTATGTATGTAATTCAGGCCGGCCTTGATCTCAAGGCTATCCTCCTGACTCAGCCTCCTAAATGCCAGGATGACAGATGTGCACCATGATGACCAGCTAAAGACTATGATTTTTAACATACTTGTCCAGTGTCTGTGAAGGACTAGGTTGAGGGACAGGAAAGAGGAGAGGCCCAGCTGAGCAGATCTCCATGAACCCCAAGGCCTCACCTTGGGACATACCTGCACATCCCCTTTTCTGTACACTCCCTCCCCTTCTCTGTACACTCCCACAGCGGGGGCGGCTGTTGGGAAAAGAAGAGATGGGAGAGAGAAAAGAGGGCCAGGCTATTCCCGCTAGCAGTCTGGCCTCATGCTGGGGATCCCTGGACACTCGGCCTTTTCCCGTCTGGTCCCGCCCTGAGACGTGGGCAAAGGGAAGCCCCGCCCCTTCCTGGGAGCCAGAACCGCCCAGACTCCGCCCCCAAGGATGGTCTTGGGGGAAAGGGGGGGCAGAAACGGGGGGGGGGCGGTCAGAAACCGGGTAGGAGTCCTGGCTGAGAGGAGCGCTGGGAAGGGCCCTGTGCTCCCGAATTCACGCCTGACCACTTTCTCAGGGGCTTCCATTCATTTGGGGCCAAAAGGGAACTGCTGCCCACGCCCCCAGACCGCTGTAGCCTTGCGGATGAAGGGCTTGGGGGGAGCCGCGCGGAAGCGGGGGGCCCGACAGGCTGAAGGCGGCCCTGGGGTGGAGGGGAGAGGGAAGACAGTTGCATGTTTCAGTGTCCGGCGGCGTCTCGTGCCGGGGCGAGGGTCTGGAGACCCGGGGTGAAGTTCTGGGACCATCCTGGGTGACAATCTGGGAGCACGGAATCGGATCCTGAAGGGAGCACAGCGGAGATTTGGAGCCCCAGGTTTAAGAGGGGCGCTAGGTGCCCAGGATACTCGGGGAGGCGCCAATCCAGGGTGCTTCACGGATTAAGGTGTGGGTGAGCAGGGTGGGATTCCGGGCGCGGACTAGGTGGCGTCTAGGTGCGCCGGGTACCAGTGGTCGCCGGAGTCTGGGGCCCCTAGGTGGCCGTGGGGCCTGCTGGCTGCAGGTCGATGACCCCGGGGCCCGGCCCGGGGGGCCCCTGGCCCGGCTCCGGAAGGCGGCTCCTGGAGGCGCCGCGGGGGACCGGGTGGGGGCCTGCGGCCGGTCGGCCGGGGGCGGAGAAGCGGGGGTCGGGGTCCCTCCCCCTGGCGCGGGCTCAGGAATCCGCCGAAGGGCGGGCGGAGGCGCCGGGGTGGGCCGCGCCGGGCGGGCGGGCGGGCGGGGGGCGCTTCCTGGGGCCGCGCGTCCAGGGAGTTGCGCTGTCCGCCTGTCCGTCTGCCCGCAGGCACTACCGGAGTCAGCCGAGCCGCCGGGCTCCGCCGGCCCAAGTGAGTGGCCGTGCGTGGGGAAGGGCGCGGGCCGAGTCGGGGCCGGGACGCACAGCGCAGAGCCGGGAGGCCTGAGCTCCTCGGCCGCGGTGCTGCGGGACCGGGCGGGGGCGGGGCGGCCCCAGCCAGTGGGCCTGGGACCCTGGTCCTCGAGAGGACTGGGCCCCCAGCTTCGGAGGCTCCCGGGCTCCAATACAGTCCTGAGCGAAGACCGCTGGGGCTGGTACAGGGAGTAGGGGTTCCCATGGCAGAGACCTCTGAGCCCTCCGCACCATCTCTCAGCCCCAGGATGCTCCCCTTCGCCTCCTGCCTCCCCGGGTCTCTACTGCTCTGGACGCTGCTGCTGTTGCTCTTGGGGGCAGCATATCCCCAGGATTCTGAGGAGCCGGACAGCTACACGGTAGGGACCATGGGGCCACTGGCCTGGGACTAGATCAACAGAGAAGGAGACCAAGATTCTGGAGCTGCTGCTGGGGAAGGTTCTCCCCTCCCCTGGTGGGTGGAACAGCTGGGGGCCATTGTTGGGTGCAGGCCAGGAGAGAGGGTGACCAGGCTCAGGCCCTGGCCTTAGCCTGGCTAGTGGGAGGAAACCTGGGGCGATCACTGGCCACCTCTGGTTCCCTCCCAGGAATGCACAGATGGCTATGAGTGGGACCCAGAAAGCCAGCACTGCCGGGGTGAGTGTGCCTTGGGAACTCCCAGGAACCAGGAAGTTTTCTTACTTCCCAAAGATGCCCCCAACTCTATGAGCTGCAGATCTGCTGGGCCCAGGCCAACTTTGATTCTCCTGGGCTGGCTCCCTGAGGGGTGGCTCCTCCCTCCAAGAAACCCAGGAAATCCACCTCTACCCCGAATTAGGCCAGAAAGCAACTGAGCACTGCCCAGATGAGCTGGGTTGTGTACATTGTATTTTATGTGAGCCATTCTCCTGTTCAGCTCTTTGTCCCATGGCAGCGTGGGAGGCCAGTGTCCACAGGGCTGGGTCAGCAGCCCTGCCAGTCCTGCCTGGGCTCCTTTAGAGCCTGGGAGCATTGGAAGGGATAGAGAGACCCACTCAGAGGCAGGAAAACCGGGCATCTGTGGGAGCAGCTGTCCCATCTCCAGCCCTGGCAGAGCCTGAGGAGGGGTCCAGAGAGGGCAGCCTTAGCTTGTGGAGAAGCTAGACCTTGGCCAATCCCACAGTTTCAAGAGGGCCAAACAGGACTGCTGCCTCCCTCTCCCTCTAGGGCCAGGCCAGGAGACTGGCTGTGCCCAGCAGCCCCCTCTCTGCAGATGTCAACGAGTGCCTCACCATCCCTGAGGCCTGCAAGGGAGAAATGAAATGCATCAACCACTATGGCGGCTACCTGTGTCTGCCACGCTCAGCGGCCGTCATCAACGACCTGCATGGCGAGGGACCCCCGCCACCAGTACCTCCCGCTCAACACCCCAACACCTGCCCACCAGGCTATGAGCTTGACCAACAGGAGAGCTGTGTGGGTGAGTGGGAGCTGCTTGGGCACCCAGAATTTGTCCTCTTACTAAGAATCTTAAAATCTTAGACCTCATATTCCTTCTTTGCTCAAACCTGTAGCTCCTCAGGGAGACATCCTCAACCCTCATTCAGATCCCTACTTCCTACAGGCCTGGGGTGGGTCCCAACGCCCCAGCCAGCCTCTGGGACTCTGGCCTCACTTCTTCCAGAAACATCCAAGCTCCTGCCCCTTGCCCAGGAGGGACGGTTCCGGGTCCGTGTTGCTGGGGTAGGATGCATAGACAGGACCTTGTTTCCTCTGCTCCCCTGACATGAGCTGCTGTAGGTTTGGGGTAGTTTCCAGTTGTTTTCCAGGCTGGTGGACCGTCATTTGTATCATTGGGGGGAATCTAATTTACATGTTTGTTTTGGGGTGCCAGTCACCTATGCATCTATATGAATGGTATCTGGCCTGTGTTGTCCTCTCAAATTGAGGTGTCTGTCCTGTTTGCTGGTGTGGGATTACAGGCAGGGGCTGAGTGATGTCTCCCACAGATGTGGACGAGTGTGCCCAGGCCTTGCATGACTGTCGCCCCAGCCAGGACTGCCATAACCTGCCTGGCTCCTACCAGTGCACCTGCCCTGATGGCTACCGCAAGATTGGGCCTGAGTGTGTGGGTGAGTCCAAGGAGTGACCACTCCAGGCCTTGCTGTGTGCCTCTGGCCTGGCTTTTGACCTAGTATCTGACCTCTGTTCCACCCTACCTCTGGGCTTCACCCCAGTCCCCTGCTATCTATGCCCTCCTGTCACCATCAGACTCAGAAGACCAATGGGGAAGGACATGGTCCTGGCCCTGTCCTACTTCGTAGTCAAAGACAGGGTCATGAGTACCAAGGCCTTTATTGTAATCCAAGTATTATAATCCCCCCCCCAAAAAACCCAAATATTGTAATCTCATTTCCCATCCTCCTCAAAGTCTGGAACATTTGTATTTGTAATCCTATTGTAATGTTATTGGAATCCTGGCAAGTTAATTACAATCTACCACCTCCAGTGTAACCCATGGCAAGAATAAAGACACTGAGACATATTCAGAGCTATGGGCAGCCAAGAGGTCCTGAGTCTGGTCCAGGTGAGGATTCACAGAACAAAGGCCTTGATCCAGGGCCTCACTCAGAATTTATTAACTCATGAAGAATAGAGTGGCTCCAGGATGAGTGAGGTGAGAGTGGTGGGAATTACATGAGCCTGTGAGCTAGGCTTAGCTAGGAGAATAGGCATTCTGCATAGGAGAATAGGCATATGCAGAGAGAAGGGTATGCAGAAACACCAATGTGCATAACTCAATTGGGGTAGATTTAAATGTTTAGGAGGCTGTTGCTTCAGTTTCTGATGTGTAAACTTTTGTGCCCTGGGAAGTCATAGCCTCTCATCTTGAGATTCAAACTCAATTGACATTCCTGGAGCTATGTGGCTCTGTTATCCCGCTGTGCTCAACTGTTTATAGGGAGACAGGATGGGAGGAAACAGGAAACTGTCAGCTGGCTTTAAAGATCACACATCATCACCTCAGCCAGCCCTATTTACATTGCTTAGAGCCAACTGAAGGGAGAAGGAAATAGCTCAGCCATCTCTGTATCAATACATGGAGACAGGGCCCAGTTTCACTAATGCAGAGGTAATTATTCTGCATTCAAGGAGTGCCTTGAGTTCCAGCCAGTTCAAGCCTCACCTGACCTCTGTTCTGTCCTCTTTCCCTCGATTCTTTCCAGACATAGACGAGTGCCGCTACCGCTACTGCCAGCACCGATGTGTAAACCTACCCGGCTCCTTTCGCTGTCAGTGCGAGCCAGGCTTCCAGCTGGGGCCCAACAACCGGTCCTGTGTGGGTGAGGCTGGGCCAGGCCAGGATCCTGGTTCTGGGCAGGGAGATGGTGGTGGTGGAGGGGGCAGGCGGCTCCCTTTCAGGTGCAGTGGGGTCTCTGGAGTGTTCCTCCACTTTCCCATTTTTCCTGGTACCCCCAGATGTGAATGAGTGTGACATGGGGGCCCCATGTGAGCAGCGCTGCTTCAATTCCTATGGGACCTTCCTGTGTCGCTGTAACCAGGGCTATGAGCTGCACCGGGATGGCTTCTCCTGCAGCGGTGAGATCCCCTCTGCTGCCTTGGGCTGTTATATTGATTCTTTAAGTCCTGCCTCAGGCCACACAGTCTTTCATTTCCTTCATATCCCACATCTTTCCACACCCGTATACCTCTTACTTTTTTGGGGGGGGGGAGTCTTTTGAGACAGGGTCTCACTATGCAGTTCAGGCTGGCCCTGATTTCACTTTGTAGCCCAGGCTGGTCTCAAACTTGCAACAATCCTCTTGCCTCAGCCTCACAAGTGCTCGGATTACAGGCGTGTGCCACCACACCCAGCTCATGAACATGTTATATACTCCATTCTGGGCTCATTCCTGAGCACTCCCAGCCTGGCAGGAAGGCACAGTTGGGCCCCTACTGAAGCTCATTGGGGAGACAGAAAAAGATGCTCTTATGGGAGTTGGGCTGACCTGCATTCAAATCCTACTCTAGCAAAGTTGTTCTTCTCTGAGGCTGTTTGTTTTGTAAAATGGGTTGTCTAGAGGCTGAAGCAGGACACTGAAAAGCTTTGGCAAGTCTGAAGTAGCTGAAGTGAAAAATTCATTGAGAACCTACCCCATGCAGGATACTTCCCTTATATACTTGGACTTGCTAATTCTGGCAACAATCCTAGGAGGGGAGGTATAACATTTTTCCCTCCTCTGTTATATGAAGACATTGGCATCTCCCGGTTTGTTAGAAAGATTATAAAAAATAAGCATAAAGCTCTAGGTAAATGGTGCCTTTCATCCTTCCATCAAGAGGTTAAGTGACTTGCCTAAGTGGGCTGGAGTCCTCAATCTACACTTTACCCCATGTCAGCTGACGACTCCATTCATGTGATGATGCTATGCTGTAGACTATAGCCTTGTTGGTGACTGGCAGCATAAGGGGGATAAAATAGAAAAATAATACCTTTCCCTGTAGTCACAGTTAGCAAGGGGTGTCTAGGGGCTGATTGTGGGGTGCAGAAACTGCTCAAGTCACTGAAACTTGGGACTTATGTAATCTAACTGGCGTATTTTACTGGCAGGGAAATTGAGGTTCCCCAAAATCTGTCAGTAGGACTCACTCCCAAGTTTATATTTCTAGTTAATATGTTTTTTGAGACAAGGTCTTGCTACATAGCTCAAGCTGGCCTTGAACTTATGTAGCTGACTGGACTCAAACTCACAATGCCCTCCTGCCTTGGCCTCCTAAGTGCTGGGATTACAGGCATGTACCCCAACACCCAGCTTTTTATTTATTGAATTAATTTTTTATCCTTACAGTCATGGGACAAAAACAGACATCTATGAGCAGGGAGGTTAGGACAGGCCTACCTTTGTCTAGCTATTGGGTGATGCTGGGGACTGAACCCAAGGCCTTGTGCATGCTCAGGGGATGCTCTGCCACTGAGCCACATCCCTACCCCTTAGACCTTTCTTAGAACCCCTTTCTTAGAGCATCCTGAGCTTTTCAGGGCTAGTCTCATCCCTTTCTCTCTTCCTATATTCAGCCTTACATGGGGCTGGGCTCTCAGTAAACGTTTGTGGGATCCAATTGTAAGGATGGCCCAGGTTCCTCATCCCCACCCTCCCTCAGATATCGATGAGTGCAGCTACTCCAGTTATCTCTGCCAGTATCGCTGTGTCAACGAGCCAGGCCGCTTCTCGTGCCAGTGCCCTCAGGGCTATCAGCTGCTGGCCACACGTCTCTGCCAAGGTACTAGTTGCCTGGATGGGACAGGCCGGGTAATATCAGGGGCTGTTGGCCTGACACCCCAGATTCCAGCCCCTCTCCCCTGGCACAGACATTGATGAATGTGAGTCGGGTGCACACCAGTGCTCTGAGGCCCAAACTTGTGTCAACTTCCACGGAGGCTACCGCTGCATGGATACCAACCGCTGTGTGGAGCCCTACGTTCAGGTGTCTGACAAGTGAGTCGATGCAAACCATGCTTCTCTATGAAACTACAACTCCCAGAGGGCTATGTGGACAGACTGGTGTCTAAATGGGCTGGCATGTGCCCTGCGGGATGATAGAAGTTGTACTCTTGCACCAGGAGTGAGCGGATGCTCTTGGGATTCCTCCTTTTTGGGGGTCGGGTCAGGTGCTCATTCCTGTTTCCCATTTGGGGGTCTCTAGCCGCTGCCTCTGCCCAGCCTCCAATCCTCTGTGCCGGGAGCAGCCCTCATCCATTGTGCACCGCTATATGAGCATCACCTCCGAACGGAGTGTGCCCGCAGATGTGTTCCAGATCCAAGCCACCTCTGTCTACCCTGGCGCCTACAATGCCTTTCAGATACGTGCCGGAAATTCACAGGGGGACTTCTACATTAGGGTAAGACCCTGACCTGCTTCCCTCCACAACTGACATGCAAGATCTAAAATGGAATTCCAGGAACCCTAAGAGAGACTGGGCCTTGCCAGTCGGCCCCGCCTCTATTCCAAAAGCCCGCCCCCAGAGGCGGGGTTTCCACAGGAAGTGGGGTGGAGAGGTAGTACTCCAGGTTCCCAGGGTATAAACGATGTTAAATAACAAGCCCTGGATCATTGTGATTTGAGGCCTGGTACTGGTTTTCTCTGCCTTACCCCAGTTTCTTCATCCATAAAACAAGGAATGCTGTAGAGTGCAGGAGCCCTGTGAGGGAAGCTAGCTCTGCTGACAAGCTGTTGGTGGAGGGACCTGGTGTGGCTTACAGCAAGGCATGCAGAGTCTCAAGGGTGTGGTCCCCCTGCTGTGTTCAGCAGGAGGACTGTGTCCAGCAGCTGCTCTGAAGGGGAGTCTGCCTGCTAGGGTATCACCAAAAGCTCCACCACTCCCAAGTCACACTTGACCTTAAATCAGCTAGCTCTAGGACTGGGGATTTAGCTCAGCAGAATAAGTGCCTGCCTTGCAAGCAGGCAGTCGTGAGTTTGATCCCCGGTACCAATAAGAAGGAAAAAGACAAAAAAAAAAAAAAAAAAAAAAAAAAAAAAATCAGTTAGCTCTGGTTAGACAAAATTTCACAAACTAGCTGGAAATAGGGAGAACACCAGTGAGAGATCTTCAAGGTATAGGAGGAGACCATCTCCAGAATATCACCAAAGAGCTAGATAAGAAGCAGTGGCCGCAGATTTAGCACAGCAGCATAAGTGCCTTCTTGGCAAATGCAAGGTTATGAGTTCAATTCTAAGTGCAAAAAAAAAAAAAAAAAAGCTGGGTAAAGTGGTGCCTTGGGAAAATGCTTCCTTGGGCTACACAGTGAGTGCAAGGCCAGCTTGAGCTACCAAGCGAGAGGCTGTCTCAAAACACCAAAAAAAAAAAAAAAAACCCCGACAAAAAACAGAAGCCAGATCATGGTCTGGGGCACACACAGGGTAGGGAGGAGGGGCAGGGTTGTGGCATGTAGGCTAACACAATCTCTATGTCCTTCTACCCACTGTATTCTGCAGCAAATCAACAATGTCAGCGCCATGCTGGTCCTTGCCCGGCCAGTGACGGGCCCCCGGGAGTATGTGTTGGACCTGGAGATGGTCACCTTGAACTCCCTCATGAGCTACCGGGCCAGCTCTGTACTGAGACTCACCATCTTCGTGGGGGCCTACGCTTTCTGAGGGGGGAACCCCTCCTCACAGTCCCTGTAGCGAAGAAGCCTGGAGGCCAGGGATGAGTGTATTCCGATAAAAGGGAAGATGTTGTGAAGGGCAGAAAGAGAAAGGCAATAAAGGGAGAAAGAAGGAGTCCTGGTGGCTGAGGTGGATGGGTCCTCAGCTTGGGCAAGGGCTGGGCTTGTGGGAAGCAGGCTAAGTCCTGCTGAACAGGTGGGTGGGGGAGGTGTTCAGGACTAGAGGGCCCTTCTGAAGGGAGCTGGGAGCTGTGTACCACAGACTTTAGACAGGAAGTGACGAGGTGTGCAGAGTTTTGGGTGTGACTAGTTGGCAGAGGGCCCGAGTAACCCGGCTAGGGATGGTGCCAGGAGCCGCAGGCTTCCAGTCCTAACTCTGCCTCAAACTAGACACTTGGAGAAGCCCTAGTTAGCTGTGAGCCTGATTTCCAATACAGAATGAGACAAGTGGACTGTGAGTGTTTCTCCAGGTTTTCCTTTCCGTATAAAACCTCTTAAGAATAAAAATCATATTTGATCAGGGACCATCTGATTATATGAATAAAGTACATTCAAAGCTAGATATGGTGGCCCATGCCTGTAATTCCAGTACTCTGGAAGGCTGAGTCAGGAGGATCACAAAGCTTGGGTAACTTAGGGAGATCTGATCTTAAAATTTTAAAAAAGTGGGCCAGACCTGGTGGTGTACACCTGTAATCCCAGCGCTTAGAAGGCTGAGCCAGGAAGATTGTGGCAAGTTTGAGGCCAGCCTGGACTACATAGTAAGACCCTGTCACAAAATAAACCTCAAAAAAACATAAATAAGTGAAATAATGAGCTGAAGATACAGCTCAGTGAAGGCTTTGGGTTTCACCCCTAGTACTACTGGGGGAAAAACAGACAGACCCAGGGTTCCAAGGCCCCACTGACTCTATTTCCCTGACCAGGGAACCCAGTTCCTAAAGTACTTGTTTATTTGTTTGAGATACGGTCTCACTCACAGGCTGGCCTTGAATTTACATTATAGTCCAGGGTGGCCACCTTGAACTGGTGGAGAGCCACATGCCTCAGCCTCCAGAGCTGGGATTACAAGAGTGTACCATCACACTGCTTGGATAGCCTGGGGGTACAGTTTAGCAGTAAAAGTTATCTGTCTAGCACACATGAGACCCTGGGAGCACTGCAAGCAAACAAAAATACTATAGAGCATGTCTTTTCTCCCTGTACAGACATATTTCTTTCTTTCTTTCTTAATTTTTTTTTTTTTTTTTTTTTGTCTTTTTCTTTTTTTTCGGTACCAGGGATCAAACTCTTGACTCCCTACTTGCAAGGCAGGCACTTATGCCGCTGAGCTAAATCCCCAGCCCCAGACGTATTTCTTAAGGCCCTTGAAGCCTGGCATCCCTTCTACAACACAGAAGGCTGAAAACATTTCCATTTTTATTGTAGTCCAAAAAAAAAAGTTCCGTTTAAAAGGCTGGCTAACCTGGGTAGAGAGGTTTAGGGGGCTGGGATCTGTTTCGTAGCATAGCTCAGGTCAGGGGGCTATAGCTGCAGTACAGCTGGGACAGGGTCCTACTTAGAGCTGGCCCCAGATTCCTACAAGAAAGAGGCAGGTGAGGGTTGGCCCAGGGCCTAGGGCAGCCCAGCCCCCACCACCGCCTTCAGATTCTGCATCTTCTCACCTCTGCAGATGCCCACACTTGATGGTACTCAGCAGCATCTCCTGCTCCTTGGGGGTGGCACAGGCATCATAAGCAGCCAAGAGGCTGGGAGTGGGGAATAGAACAGCTGACCATCTGGGCCAGCACCGTGGGAGCTGAGGCAGGAGGGGGTCAGCTTGGGACAGAGGAGTCAGGCATTTCCCGAGCCTGGCTTTCAAGGTCTTGTCTCATCCTGTCTGCCCTCCCTTCTGGCCAACTCTGGGGCAGACCACTAACGGCTCCAAAAGCTCCCTTGGTCAGCGTTGCTCAGAGCCCTCCCCAGGAAATCTTCTCTGCTGCACTCTGTGCAGTATTGTCCTCCCACCCCAGGCCTGGCTGTCTGTCTTCCTCCCACCAATCTCCTCAGGGTTCAGCCGGATCTGCCCACCTTTCCCTCTGTTTAGCTCTGGTTAAGCTGAACGACAGAGACAAGTGGGCTGAGGACCCCAAGGGGCCCTCCTGGGGCTTACCTGGCAGGGGTGCTATATCGGTCCACCAGGGCTGCCGCCTTCTCTCCACTCACTCCACCCACCTGCATCAGCTGCCGGGCAAACACCTCTCGCACAGACTGGGCCTGGGGTTGGGGGTTGGGGGAAGCATACGTCAGGGGTGGTTGGGGCTGGGATACCTAAGGGGTCTGGGCAGAGGCAGTACCTTATTCTTGATGGCTCCAGAGTTGAAGTCACCGAAGGTGAGAAGTGAGCAGAGAGGGTTTGGGGAGGGCTTGGTTCCTGATTCGGGGTCCCCTGGGATTCCCCAGGGACGGCTGCGAAGGGTGTGGCCCTGAGGGAAGAGGGGACTAAGGACAGGATGAAGCTTTAAGGGTCAACCCCCAGGGTTCTAGCTCAGCCCTAGGTTCACTGGCCAGACTAAACAATAGGGGGTCTCACCGACCTTACCTCCCTTGGGATAGCAAGGACCCAGGGAAGGGGCAATGCCAAACAGGTAGAATTGCTCACCTGGTAAAGTCTCTCCAGGCCCCGGGTCAGAAGAGCCAGGTAGGCTGCTGACTCCTTAATGTCTGCTGTGCGCTTCACAAAGAACCCATCAATGACCTGGGAAGGAGGACCAAAGGCAGGAGCTGGCTCCTGGCTGGGGCACAGCTCCTGGACTCTGCTTATCTGGCCCTGCCTTCCAATCTCACCTGGGTATTGGTGACAGCCTGCAGCAGTGTGCTCTCCGGGAGGCTGAGGTTGTGGACTGAGCCATGTTCTTCTACCAGGTATACCCGGTGCCCCAGGCCACAGCGCTTCAGTCGAAACTGGGGAAGCAGACGGCAGGGTCAGGCCCGAATGCCCACGCACCCCTCTCAAATCAGACCCTGGCCCCACCACTTAGCCTCCTCACCCTTGCTGGCCTATCCACCTGTCTCAGGCGACCCCATCCCTGTCCTTAAGCTGTGACTCCTGTAGGAAAGCCCTTCACCATCTCTGAATGAAGCCTGTCCTGCAGGCCTCCCTTGGCCTGCTCATAGCCCACCGACTGGAATCAGCCCCGCAGCTGGGACCGAGGCAAAACCTCTGCAACATGTTTGGGCCTCATTTATCCAAGCCCCCAGAGGCTGGGTACAGCAGGGGTCTTCAGGAAGCTCCTCTGCACAGCTCAGCTGCCCTGTGTTCCTACTGTGTTTAGGATGGCCTACGGGGATGTGAACTGGGGCTGCCCGCAGCAGCTCTAAGGGAGGGGTGGCTGGAGATGTTGGGTGCGCTGCCAGAGGAGACCACCCCACAGAGCCTTGGCTTCCTGGGGCTGGAGAGGCAGCCCTAGAGCAGGCAAAGAGCAGGCCGTGGGCCAGTGAGGGACCTTCTGTTCCCGGAAACGGCCATCAATGATGCTGCTACATAGGTCATCCAGACGCTTGCGTTCTACGATGTAGTCCAGCACTAACTCTGCAGGTCTTGCTGCCAAGAAGTCAAGAAAAGGTTGTGATGACGTGTGTGTCCTCACCTGCTAGGCTTGGCCTCTGATGCCTGCTCATCCACATCCTTTTACCTGGGTCTTTGGGCCTGGTCTCCTGTGCCACCCACACAAAGTCGCCAACATGTAGCTTCCGCACTATGTGGTTCACGTGGAGCCGCTGCAGCTCTCGGAGTACCTCTGGCCTGTGTCCCACGCTGAAATTGCACAGATGAGGCCAAGGTCAAGGCGGGTCATACCCCTCACCCTTCGGGATCCTCAGCTCCTCTCCCTCACTTACCCCCTGGTCTCTCCAATGTCCACACACAACAGTACCCTGTACTCTGCAGGCCCCAGCTCCAGCAGGGGCTGCTGGACACCCACTTCACTGGCGCCACTGTGGGTGGAGATTGCTGTGTGTGAGGCCAGAACCCCCCAGTGCTGGGCGTCCCCTCTCCTCCAGCTCTCCCCTTTCTCCTCACGGCTCAGCCAAGGCTGCTTCTGGCAGTGCTGGCTTCTCCCCAGGGAGCTCCTTGGGCCCAGTGCCCACATTCAGCAAGCCCAGGCCTTCAGACTCAACCAGCTTCTGGGCCAGCTCCAGGCCCTCTGGGGTCAGTGAGTACCTGAGAGGTAGAGGATATGAACATAGCTCTCCCTTTTTCACTCATACCTGGCAGGCTCTCCTGCTGTCCCCCGGCCAGGCAGGCTGCAACACCGCACAAACAAGTTCCCTCCTCCACCATCTTCCTGCCTCTCACATCAGTTTCCTCAGAACCAGCCCAGTGTCGTCTAAGGTCTGCAATGTGTATGTCTCAGACTTCCTTCTGTCTTTACTCATGCGGGTTCCGTCCTCCCTGGAATACTCTTCTTATACCTCTACCAGCCAAATTTTAAGTCATGCAAAATGTTGTCTCCTTGGCAAAGGCTTATTGCTTCTACTAAAGGTGGCACTCCTCCATCATACCCCTGCCACCTCAATTTCTCACATCCTCCTGGTACTCCAATGCATTAAGCTGTTGCAGAGGTGAGCAGATTTCTTCTATCTTAACAGCGTCAGATCTGACTGTAGGGGCTCACTAAGATGTCATGCATGATGGCCCATTCCTGGCTACTGTGTCCCCTGCAATTGGCCCCACCTGGCCGGCTGATGTGTTCTGAGGACCAGGTTCCTCTGCAGGAGAGAACGAAGGGCTGGCCAGGACTGAGAACTCTGAGGGGCTATCTGTGGGCAGGAGAGGAAACTCTCAGAGAGTGCTAGAAGTCCAGGCTCTCTGTACCTCTGGCATGGGATTAGACCAGACCCAATGCCACTTTTTTCACTGCCACAAAACCATTCTGGTGGGCTCCACCTATTTGCCCCCACCTCAGTGCTCACCCTGGGGTCCTTCTGGGCACACCTCTGTAGCAGCTCTGCCTTGGTTAAAAAGCTGTTACCATCAGGATTCTGAAACCATGGTACAAATGACAGAGGTGGTTCAGTGCTAGAGCAGGAGCTACCCAAGTGGCTGGGATGATTTCTGTCCACCTTGCCTGGGCCAGGCACTATCACCCCACTGCCTCTCCCAACATTCCTGGCATGGCCAGCCACTGACCAGGTGCTCCCAGTAGAGCTGCAGCAGGACCACTCGGGCTCCTGAGTTTCGAGCTGGCCAGTAGCCACTAGAACTTCCTGTTTGGGACTGGACAGGAACCTGAAAGGGACAGAAAGGTTCTGAATACAAATGCTGCCAGTCATTGTCAACTCAGTTCCTGGAGGGATGACTGAGTTTCAGAAGGATGCTTTGTTGCTTCCCACTTTCCTTATCTGTAAAAGGAGTCAGATGATGGGATGTCCATGCAAATCCAGAATGAGACAGTGGACACCTGCAGGACACAGACAGGCTGGGCTTCTCTGTCTAACATTGCAGGACAGAACATCAGCAATAGCAGCAATCCATCACTAACTGGGCTGGGACTTTTAAGTAGCTTAATTATGGAACTTCCTCTACAAGTGTTATCCATGTACCCATTTACAGAATTAAAACCCTGTCTCAAAAGAAGTCATTTGTTTTAGGCCAGGAATCACTATGGAAATCTGGACCCAAGCCCACTAAATCCCCCAAACCAAGAAATGCTATTCTCAGCATTCTCACTTTGCTTTCACTCCCCTTTCCTCTCCTCACTGGCATAGAAGAGTCTTGATCTTTGGCAGGTGACTTTTCCAGGGTCGGGCTCTTCTCTCCAGATGGTGAGCCAGAAGCATGGTCACCTGTGTGAGCAGAACGTCAGCCCGGTACCTCCACGGAATCTGGCAGATGCTGGCTGGTGCGAGGATCGGGGATGCGGTCTGCTCGTACTGTATGTGAACGATGAGGCTGAGAGTGCCAACCATCAGCCCCAGATCAAATAGCTAGCACCGGAGTGGGGAGTTTACAGGCGAGGTATCTAAGGTGAGCACAGAGGCTGTCCCTGGAGGAGGCAGGGGATCACTCCCACCCGTCAAGCGCTCACCATCTGATGCTCGGTGCTGCTGTAATCGCTCGTCCAGCATTCGGCAGAGCCCGTCTCCAAAGTGCTGGAGGATCTTAGCTTCCTTCCCGCTGTGCAGGGGCAGCGGATACCGCCGAAGGGAGCACAGTGCCTGGCAAGGGTAGGGAGCTCGGTTAGAGCAGGGCAGGGCAGAGAAGGGACGGATCGTCTGCTTTAGCCAACACTTGACCCCATCCGACCCCAAGGGACCCACCTTCTGAAACACGAAGCGCGTGCGGCGCCCTCTGCTGGCTGCCGCGTCCCTCCACTCGGTCAGCCAGCGTACAAAGAGCGGGTTGGGGCAAGCCGGCAGCGGGCGTTTCCGGCCCAAGCGGACCGGCGCCGCCATAAACCCCAGGGCAGATCCGCTGACACTTCACGCCTGCGAGACCCGGACACCGTCAGTGACCCGGACACCGTCAGTTCTGGATCAGGAATGCAACAATTTGCTGGGGCAGGGGGGGAGATGAGGGATGGACCTTTTCAATCACGTGCTTCCGGAGGGGCCCTGACTAGTGTCCTCTTCACTGCTGACAGATACCGAAGCGCGGTCTCTACACCCCTGGGCCTATGTTCCCCCTCGGCCCGTATCAGCTTCTTAGATCTGGGTTGGAGCCTTGACCTGCCCTTTTCTCCCATACCAGACTCGAAAGCGGATGCATCCATTTCTGTGGTAGGCTATAGGAAAGCGGACAGCGCCCCCAGCGCCTGGGAGGCCTGGCTGGGGCGGCACTTAACGGAAAACCTGAAATTGGTGATGGACGACTCGGTTTCAGCCTCATTCTTACAAAGAAGGCTGGAGAGAGATGGCCTGAGGTATAGGGAAAGGACGACAAGTAAATGCAAGTATATTTGTCTTCCTTTTTTTTTTTTTAATCGGTACCGGGGATCGAACTCACGACCACCTGCTTGTAAGGCAGGTGCTTATGCCGCTGAGCTAAATCCCCAGCCCCCTTAATGCAAGTATATTTGTGAGAAAGACATACAAGAAGGGCTACAGGGGATGAGGACACAAAGGTAAGACTGGAACTGAATTATCTCCGAGGACGTGCTGATCTTCACCCGCGGGACACGAGAGGGAGAAAAAAGAAGAGGGTCAGGCTGGGGGCGCAAAGTGGGGCTGCGCACAGAAGGGCCGAGCTAGATGGGTGTGGAGGCAAGCGCTTATGTAGGAAAAACTTGGAAGAAAGAGGTGCAGGGCAGCCTGCCAGGTGGGGAGCCTGATAGGCTCGGGACATGATCCCAGGCAGCGGGCTGGTAGAGGTAGAAGTAAACACTGCTTTTGTAGCAAATTGTAAGTGGAGGAGTGCCCTGAGAGACTGAAAACTTTGCAGGCGGTTCCTACAGTTGACGGGTACAGGGGTTAGAGCATCCCCCACCCTACTCTCCGCCGGTCTTTGTTAATACTGGAGAGGTGCAGATCTTAGGTCTTGAAGGACAGAGCCGGTGCCTGAGCGCCAGGCCCGCCCCTTCACACTAAACGTAGGGCATAGCATTGCCTCCTCAGCCGGCTCTGTGTTCCCGCCTCCCTCCCGACGCGGCCTTATAAGGAGCCTGAAGCCAGTGTTCGGGCTGGCCCCGCCCCTTCTAGTCTCATGTCCTAATAAGGACATCTAGGGCATCATGCGGCCGGGGGCGGGCGGAGCGCGTCACCACGGTAACTGTAAGCTCCCCCCCTCCGCCGCCGTTGTTGCTCCGGGAACTGCGAAACTCGAAAAAGGTGGAGCTAGCCTCTTCAGCCAGGGGCGCTCGGGGAAAGTGGGGGTCAAACTGCAACCTTCACTTGGAGGCCCCAGAGTTCTGCTGGTGGGCGGTGCGGCGGATGTCCATGACTACAATCCCCGGCATGCTCTGTGAGGTACCCCACTCCAGGGCGTCTCTGCATTTTACATCTTTTATTTTGCTTATGGCATCAAGGCTTCTGGTTCCGTTTGCTTCTGACTTGTTGGCGACCTTACCTTCTCTTCCTGCACGATGTGAGGCCATGGTCATTGTTCTTGGCCAACAAAATCCTGCCGGAGCCTCCCACTCCAATTTTTTTAGGCTTATGTTCTCACAAAACTTGTATTAAATAACCATAAACCAGCTGGGTGTGGTGGCTCAGGCCTGTCATCCCCGAACTCAGGAGACTGAGCCAGGAGGATCACCGTGAATTTGGGGCCTGTCTGGACTACATAGTGAATCCAGGCCAGTCTGAAATACATGAGAACTTGTCTCGACAAACAAAAAAAACCATAAATCTATCAACTAAATTCAAGTTCAGCTTAGTCTCTATTTCCTCTTTTCACTGCCTGGTAAAAGGCATATTAAAGAAGTTCTGAATGTACAAATCCCACCCTTCCCCCTTTACTGCCTAGTAAAATTCTTCTTACAAGTACCCCCTTGGAGCCTTCCCTCCTGTTTTTTTCTCCTTATTTTGTCTGTAGCTTATGATCTTTTCTCGCGATCAAAGATGGTTTGCACACATGGAAGATACTGTAAAATGTTTAAGACTCTTATACTTGCAATTCCCTGCTTTAAGATCGGATTCTAGGCTAATGAATACTTTCTTCGAAGCAAAATCTTAGTTCCGCTAAGATATTCCAAACCAAGGGATCCAGAAAGTGCCACACAGGTCCTCTGACAATCGTTTCTCTCCTAGAATAAAGAACCTCTTAGTCAGAGATCCATTTCGGGTTATTTTTACGGAGCTCAGGGCCGATTGCTCAGCTCAAAACCATCCCTGAGAAATTCCTCCAATGAGCTTACTCTGCGCTCTATGGTCCCGCCCCACAGCTGCCCTCGCCTACATTTCCCAACATGCAATGCGAAGCCGGGAAGCTGACGACACATCGGACAGTTACCCTGCTAGTCAGACGACGGCGCAGGACCCTCGGACTCCATTTCCCATCGGCCCTGTGGGGAGTGGCGGAAACCCGCCCCGCCCCTCATTGTGCGGCTCCTACTAAACGGAAGGGGCCGGGAGAGGCCGCGTTCAGTCGGGTCCCGGCAGCAGCTGCGGCGGCTCTTGTCTTCTCCATCTTTTTTGCAGACTCTCTTTCGCTTCCGGAAACATGGTGAGCGGCTTGCTAAGGCACGAGAGGGGTCAGCTGCGGATCTGTCGCTTGCACCTATGGGGCATGGGGGGAGCGACGTCGGCATCCCCTCCCCCAGCGCCCCGGGCGGAATGAGGGTCTCGTACCGGACGGCGGGCGGTGCTGGGCCGCGCGTGCGCGCCCGTGGGCCTGGGGAAGGGCAGGCTCTGGACGTCGCTCGCGCGCCCCCTGGGCTCCCCTCCCCCACCCCTCTGGTGCGCCCGCGCGGACACCGACCGTGGGGGAGGGGTCCAGGGCATGCGGGCGCGCGCCCCTCGCGAAACGACTGGCGTCGCGCGACGTTTTACGAGGGCGCGCGCTTGACTGGAGCACGCGGCTTCCAAACTCGACCCGGCAGCGGCCAGGGAAAAGCGCGCGAGAGGTCTCGGCACGCGCGCCCCACCCAGAGGCTGTTCATTTCTACGCGTCACCCTCCCCCGGCGGACGCGCCTGTCTAGAGAGCAGGTGGCAAGGGATGCGGGCGCCCGGTGGGGGCGGGGGCGATGCGGCTTCAGGGATGCTGCGGCGACCGGGTCCAATTTGGGACATTAGTGCCTGCGGTTAGGAATTTGCACCGCAAGGCACGGAGTAGATCCTTCCGAAGCCGTAGCTGCCCTCGGGAGCTAGCGAGCTGGGCTCTTACCTGTACCCCGGGCCAGCTGAGCCGCATCTCGACCAGCGCCGCGTGCAAACGTTTAAACTTGGCTACCAAGGCCATAGCTCGGGACCAGCTGGGCCTCCGGCTTTGCCGGATAGGGCCTGCGGGTGGAGCCGAGTTTAGGGAAGTGACCCAGGCAGGCACTGGAAGCCACTCCGCCCCGCTGTGTTGAGCCCAGAGGCTAGGAGAATTGATGCTTGTGTTAGTTGCTTAGGCTATCGCTTGCAGCTGACACGATTTGCCCGTCTGGGCATTGGGGGTGCCCTGGAGATGCGGTACCTCCTAGGATACGGGTTTTTCTCTTGGGGAGGGGGCCGAGCCTAACACATCTCCTTTCCCCGCCCACTCCGGAAGCGGCCGGGTCACGTGTCCTGCTTCCTCTGCAGTTGGGGGTGCGGGTTTTGCCTTGAACAGTCTTTCTGCCTAGGGCTTCCCCAAGTACGATCCAAGTAGAAGTTTAAATAGGGCGCAAGGATTTCGGCCATTAGTTTGAACTGATTATTTCTATCAGCGATCTTTGGGACGCTGCTGCTCTTAGAGGATAGAGAATTGTCCAGGGTCCTATTCTGTTGTTTGGCAAAGATCCCAGCAGGGAAAGAGAGTTGTTTGTGTAACATCTACATTGAGCGGTTCTGACCGACTTGGTGAACCTATTGGCACCGTTTGGTTTTGCACCTGGGATTGTGGGTCCTGGTTCCCTCTTCCCTGAAGAGAGACTACCGTAAGGGTGTTGGTCCTTTGCTGTCTGTGAAATTCTAAATCGGTACTTTTGGTCCTAAGGCTGAGGTTGAGTATTGTGAGGCGGAACCAAATCACTAGTCCTCGAATTCTTTTTAATTCTGCGTTCATAGTTAGGCCAGTGCTTTCATTTTTGTAATTCTTTGTGTCTAGCCTGTAAAACTAGGGATGTTGAACTACATAATTCATAATAAGTTTCTTTTGTAGCTGCTCTGCAAGAGGTGGTACCCTACCTGGTCCTTTGACAGTTTGGGTGGGAAAGTGGTGATTTGCTTTGGAAAGGGAATTCGTGATATTTGGGGACAGAGGTTGTGTTCTTGACATGTGGATTGAGATCTGAGAATGGAGAGGGACTGACTACAGGAGGTAGTTTCTCAAATCCCTTTCTTTACAAGGTGTGTCTGGCTTGTCCTTCAGGCCTCTGGTGTGGCTGTCTCTGATGGCGTCATCAAGGTATTCAATGACATGAAGGTGCGCAAGTCCTCAACACCAGAGGAAGTGAAGAAGCGCAAGAAGGCAGTGCTCTTCTGCCTGAGTGAGGACAAGAAGAACATCATCCTGGAGGAGGGCAAAGAGATCCTGGTGGGGGACGTGGGCCAGACGGTGGACGACCCCTACGCCACCTTTGTCAAGATGCTACCAGACAAGGACTGTCGCTATGCCCTCTATGATGCAACCTACGAGACCAAGGAGAGCAAGAAGGAGGATCTGGTGTTTATCTTTTGGTGAGCTACTCATCCAGGCACTTTTGTCACCTTCCCTCTTAGGAGGGAAGCCTTACAGAAGTCCTGGTTAGCTACAGGTGGGGTTTTGAAAGTGAGGCAGTTGTAACAAAATACATGTCAATGGGGAAGTTGACAAAAACCCATCAGACAGAAAAGTTTCTTGAAGTTGGTGCCTGAGAGCAATTGCTACAAGTTCCCTAATTTTTGTCTCCAGGGCCCCTGAGTGTGCACCCCTTAAGAGCAAAATGATCTATGCCAGTTCCAAGGATGCCATCAAAAAGAAGCTGACAGGTAAGGGCTATCATGCCCCTCTGCACCCACCCTGGCTGAGAGTGAACAACTTGGGACAGCCCCCAACCCCAAGTCTTTCCTGCCCACTGGGCAGTATATTGTACCCTTCCATCTGCTCTGATGGCTCTTTCTCAGCCATGGAAATTCCTTACCTGAGACTCCTACTCACCCCCCTACTTTTTCCCACAGGGATCAAGCACGAATTACAGGCAAATTGCTACGAGGAGGTCAAGGACCGCTGCACACTGGCAGAGAAGTTAGGCGGCAGTGCCGTCATCTCCCTGGAGGGCAAGCCTTTGTGAGCCCCTCCAGTCCCTGCCTGGAGCATCTGGCAGCCCTGGACCTGCCCTCAGGGGGTTGCAGGCTGCCCCCTCCCTGCCAGACCGGAGGGGCTGGGGGGATCCCAGCAGGGGGAGGGCAATCCTTTCACCCCAGTTGCCAAACAGCCCCCCCTACCCCCTGGACCTTCCTCCTGCCTCCATCCCTGATGGTTCTGGCCTGCCCAAACTGCTTTTGATCTTCTGATTCCTATTGGGTTGAAGCAGACCAAGTTCCCCTCAGGCAGCCAGCTTTGGGGGGGGCCTGTATTTTTTTTAACGACATCCCTACTCCCCACCCATTCCTCCCTCCTCCCATGCTGCCAACTTCTAACCGAAATAGTGACTCTGTGCTTGTCTATTTAGTTCTGTGTATAAATGGAATGTTGTGGAGATGACCCCTCCCTGTGACGGCTGGTTCCCCCTGTCCCCTGGTTTTGGCCACTCATTGAAGCGGGACCAGCAAGGGACCTTCGATTAAAAAAAAAAAAGAAAAGAAAAGACAATTTAAAAAACTCATTAATGGAGTGTTTGTTTTAGTATTGGTACTTGGTGCTTTGGAGGGGAGGAATGGTATCTGCTGTGCCCCAGCCAGCTCCAGTGAGTGACTGAGACTCCTTTCTGACAGACTCCATGCTTACATCCATGGTGCTGCAGTTGGCACCAGACCAGCTGTTGAAGGGGTAGCAGAGCCCAGGGCAAGTCTGCTCCCAGCTGCTGGGGCCTCTCACAAAAGTGATCTCATACCTGTACCCATCCACTCCTAGTCCCTGCTGTGTTCTGCCCAAGTCTGAGGGCAGTATTGCAGGCCACAGGAGACCTCTTGAGCTTTCTCCCTTTTAAGGTTCTTTGGGCCCTCTCCTCTGTCTCTTTCCATGGGTGGATGACTCAAATTTATGAGGGACAGGTTCTGTGAGTCAGAGACCAAACTGAGCCTTTGACCTCCTATAGCTGTGGCTGCAGTCCATTCAAGGTGGGGCCTGCCAGGTGGAGCCCAGGACTTCAGACCCAGGTGTCTGGACCCTGCCTCCCAGTGTGTAGCCAGAGGGCGTTGCCAGTTCCTGAGCACTTGGCCAGCATTGCTGTGGGCTGTCTTCAGCCTGCACTTTGGGCTCTACCCAACAGGCACAGACAACCAAGAAGTCTTGCCCCATGGGTTGGACAAGTGAAATGGGGGGTTTAAACCTCATCCCTCCCTATGGCAAAAGGCCACTTGAAGTTACATCTGGTTTCTTAGCTCCCTGAGCACTGAGCAGAGGAAAATAATTCTATTTTCCTTGTCAGAAAATAGAGAATTCACAATTTTTCTTCATGGGTTTGTGTTTTTTTTTTGTTTTTTGTTTTTTTTTTTTTTTGTTTTTTGCATAAGGAGCCGAGGGCACTGTGCTACTTCCTCCAGGCCTGTTTTGGTTTTTGATAAAGGGTCTAGCTATGTAGCCCAGGCTGGCCTTGAACTCAAGTGATCCTCATAGGTCAGATTGTGTGGTACACAACTATAATACTAGCATTTAGGAGGCTGAGGCAAGAGGATCAGTAGTTCCTTACAATGAAAAGAAAAAAAAAAGGCCTCCTTGCTTTAAAACCAGGCCCTTTATTTGTGAAGGACAGGCATGGGTGGGGGTCCAGTGAGCTCCAAGAATGGTAGGGTGGAGACTGGTATTCAACCTACTGGGGATAGGTCACGTCCCTTAGGACTCGGTTTATCCTGTGGCCCAAGGGGTTGCCTGTGCTACCCTATCCTTGTAGGACCTCAAAGGCTATTACTGGTAGCTGCTATGGTAAGAAAGGGTTTGGGGGACCCTTGTCACTGGAAGTCCCAGACAAAGTCTGGTTGCTCTATGGGTTGTCTAAATTTAGAGAAACATTCTGGAAGACTAGGGTAATAATGGTCTTCAAAAAGAGGTACTTCACAGTCTCCTCTTCCCTAGGCCAGGAGCTACTCTTTCCACGTCTCAGTAACAAAGAGAAGGGAAAGTCTGTACCAGGGTTTGGCCTGGGGCGGGGGTGGGGTCCCTCTGAAGCAGCAGTGCTCCTCTTGGCATGTTGAGCTTCAGTCCTGGAAAAAGACCCAGCAAGACCTGAGGCCCATGAGTTCTGGGGAGGACAGGAGAACGGGAACAGCCCTGTGGGCAGCCTAGCAAGAGGACTGTGAGCTGC